ATCAGAGACACTTTACAGTCAGGCACGTGGAGGAACTTTTACAGGTTTCACTTCAAAATTCCTCCCTTTTTATTGGGCCCATGCTGGGCAGTGCCTGTGAGCAAAGCTGGCGGGAGACTGGTGCTCTGTAGCCAAAAGCTTCACAATCTTTATTGCTATTGGCTTTGAGATGGTTTAAAGCAAATCTTTTACAAGGTAAAATCCAATATAAACCTGCCGGCTACAGCTTTCCTTTGTTAGCAGCAAGGATGTAATTATCACATTTTACCTTTATACGAGTGATTGTGGACAGACTCCATATGATCCCTGGGCTTTCTCACTGCAGCCTGCCTCAGGTTTTCCCCCAGCACCCATCATGGCAATATCCAAGGACTGACAAAGCTCTATCCGCCTGACAAAAGAGTATCAGAAATGCAGCCGCCGCGAGGAATGAATGGTCTATTCAAAGGCTACTGACAAGGTGTATTTCCTAATTTTAAAACTTGTTGTGGAACAACTAGCCAGACAGAAAGCTGACAGCGACAGCTATTTCTTTGTTGGGTTTGGGTGCTCTCTGCTGTGTGAACTGATTTATTGTCGTACAGCGGAGGTTCATGTGTTTTAACTGAGTGCTTGCTTTTCTGAAAGAAAATATGTCTCAAATAGCATAAAATATGGGGGTTTAAAGCACACAAGTGGACAGAAAATAAAGTTGCAGCACTTTGGCTAATTGTTTGCCATGGTCCTGAGCAGGACCGAATCCTGGAAATGATGGAGAAGAAAAGGCAGAGCCTCTTGTCCTGCCTTTGGATGTACTATGCTGTGCTGTCTGCCTTTCTCCTCACTCCTGAGTAGAGGACTGAGATGAGGCAGAGAGAAGAAATAGCTTTATAAAGAACCTTGCTCTGGTCCTGATCCTGGAGTGTAGATTTTGGGGGAGCACTGTATGAACCTTTGACTATCCACCTCAGAGAAAATCTAGATGAGGATCTCCTGCCCTCGCTGGGAAGCGTTTTATGCACCTGATACAGAAGCAGCATGAGAAATTTCATTGAGAAAACAGTTGAAAGCAACCAGTTTTTCTGAGAAACAAAAGCCCAGAAAAGCATAGCCTTCCCCAGAGTGACCAACTGGAGATATTCAGATGACTCACCTCCCTTCTCCCATCGCACAGCCCCTCAAGTTCCCATCATCCAACAAGGACAAGCTGTCCGCAGCTGCCAGCACTGCTTTCTGCCATCACCACGTTCAGACTAATACTGGGAACAGCATGATTTCCCTTTCCTCCCTCCAAAGATTTAAATGAAATACCTACTTGCACCCTGTGAGATCAAATTAAAGGTTTTGGAGCCTTCAGGGCGAAACTAACTTTTTTTTTCCTTTGTTGCTTTTAGCATTGCCTGACAGTTTAAGTCTTTATTTAGAGGTCCACGATCAAAGAAGAAACTTCTGCATGGGTTATTTGTACTGTGAGGTCCACGGTGCACCACCACCAGACCAAAGGGGTATTTCCACCAGAACAATTCACACTTATAGGAATAATTCACAACAAACAGTGCACTCAGGCTCAGAGCTGCCACGTCCTAACGCACACATTTAAACCCTCCACACCTCAGCAGCACTGCCAGCACCTTCCAAGGCTTTTCTCACACAGAAGGATGCTCCTGCTCATCACACGCCTGCAGGATCACGCCCTCGGTTTCCAACTTGCGTGAAAACCACGCGCTCCTCCTCTGCCATGGCTTCGGCAAAGTCACCCCAAGCCCCCGCAACCACAGACCCGCAGGGCTCCTCAGGCCAGTCCCGCACCCACCTGCTCGTGGTACTCGATGCCCATGCTCAGCGTGTTGATGAGGATGGCTATCATAATCCCCCGGTTGAAGTATTTGCTCTCCACGATCCTCTTCAGCTTGCTGCCAAAAGCCTTCCACAGGCGGGTGACCTTGTTCCTCTCCTTGGGTTTTTTCTTCTTCCTCCTCCTCCTGCCCCGCGGCTGCTGGAGCTGGTCTCTGTGGTCGCCGTGCCGCAGGTCCTGGGTGAACTCATAGACGCCATTGCTGTCGGAGTCGCAGCTGTCGGACTCGCTGAAGGCGAACTCGGGGTCGTCCAGGAGGCTGGCGCAGAAGGGACAGTCCTGCAGCTCGCAGGTCA